TGTTATAATTGTTTTTATCATGGACAATTATGTTTACATAAATGTTTAATAAAATTAAAAAATTTATTTGATAAATATCATAAACAAGAAAAATTACTTACAACAGTATCATCAACACCAAATATATCAAATAAAAAACGTGAACATTCATCAATAAATTTTGATATTGATTCAGTAAATGATTTTACAACTAGTAATCATAATAATACAATTACAAATAGTGATAATCATCCTAATCGAATGTTTATGGCATCAACATCATCAATACGTACAAATGATAGTCAAATATCCGGTGTATCATTTGCACATATGCATTATCGTACATGTGGTGCTCGTTTTTCCGGTAGTTCACATTTAATATGTTTTGGTCGAACAGGTAATAATCAAGAAACAAATTCATCACCAGTTTTAACTACATTAAATGATGGAACAATAAATCGACCACAATCATTACCTATACGCGCAACTAGTTTAACAGTAACAAAAACCCGTGAAAATTCAAATACTGATGAACAATCAAGTTATCGAACACCAACATCAAATACAGCGCAAATACAATATATTGCAAATAATCAACGATTACCAATATTTTCAGCTCCTGTTCGTTCATCATTCGTCCCAAGTATATTTAGTGATCATCAACGTATATCAACAGCATATCGTCGTTCACTTGGTCAAATAATTCCTCCACATTCAACTGTATCAATATATGATGTTTCTATATTATTACCTGTTAGTAAGAAATTAGCTGATGATTATAAAATTGATTTAAAAAATTCAGTTGAAATGTGTGAAATGAATCAACAATTAGCACGAGAATTAGGTAAAAATGATTTATCACATTGTTGGCGTTTACTTGGTGGTTTATTATCATTACAACCAAGTTTACAAAATGATGATGCTTGGTTTCAAATACCATTAGCACAAGGTAAATTCAAAAGACAAAAGAAATAAACAAAAAATAAACAAATTGTTTTCTTTTTGGTCTTACACTTTTGTCTTTCTTTTCTAAGGTTTAATCAAACATTTAGTTTCGAATTATGTTATGAATGGTGATATACAATCAGCAAGTATGTTTCTTTTAACAATGTCGGAAACATCATATTTAAAAACAAGAATTCAAACAAGATTAGTTAATGAACATGATTATGATCCAATTTTATATGCTTATGCATGTTTATTACATCGATGGAGACATTTTTATAAACGAACACAAATTTTATCTCAAATTGATCATAATTGTCAATCACCAGCACCATTTAATCAAACAACAACACCAACAACTATCATATGTTCAATTTGTTTACAACCCGTTTTAGGTCAACATTTTTTATGTTCAATATGTGGTCATAGTGGACATTTAACACATATGCATGAATGGTTTTCAACAGACGGACTTAAACATAGATATTGTCCAGAAAAAGATTGTACATGTCGATGTATTATAAAACAACAAGAATTATTAGCAATGAATACAGTTCAATTACAGCAGCAACAACAGCAGCAGCAACAACAACAACAGCCACTACCTACAATAACATCAAGATCTTATACAGTTCGTCAAGGATCAGTTAATATTCGTCCTTCATAGTAAAAAAAAAACAGTTTTGCACGTGCGTGTGTGTGTGTCTATATAATTATTTAGTTATATTCAATAATGCAACAAAAATAAATAAATAATTTAACTAAAATAAATAACATAGAGAGCATGAATAATACCAGGAATCCAAATACAAAGAAAAAGAATCATATTAAGTATAACTGTTGAATTGCATTGTTTTTGAACAAAATAGACGGCTAATGGTGGAATGAAGAAGATCAACAGTAGAAGAAGAATTGTTCTACAACAATATGGAACTTCAGCCATAGTTTGTGTTGCCTGTTAAACGAATTGAAATTTTGGCAATGACAACAATGAGGATTGAAAGATTAGTGCATTTAGAAAACAAAACACTTGATGACAATCCTTTTCTTTTCTTTTTTTGAGTTAAAAGAAAAGGACAAAGATAAATAAACGCTAAGAATAGTAAGCAAAGCGACGACTTTGTCGATCAACATACAAACATAAAACATTCACATGTCAATCATTTAACTAAATGGCAATGAAACAAAAAACGATTTCAATAGACTTTAATTTCAATCAGGCCTGATCCGAGACAGTCAACATTGGACAGAGAGTGCCGCAATTTTTTTTTTCTAAGACAACGTAGGAAAAATTTTTGGCTCCAGCTGCGAAATAAACAAAAAATTTTACTGAGCAAAGGGAAGTGTCACAGGCCCGCCCGTCTCCGCCGGTCGCTACAGACGTGACAGGACACTAGCATGAAAGCAACAAGATTGTAACAACACAATCATAGAAACATCAAATACTGTGAGAAACGTTGTTGATATACGATCAAAGACCGTATATGAATGAAGTCTCGTTATAATACTTGAGCATAGGGAGCTACGGGTCCTTTCAGATCCGGATCCATAATTTTATTTTTTTTGTTAGGTTCGGTTAGATGTTTTTGTAGACCCGCTGCTCCCCAGATGAGAAATACAGCAACAAAATATAGCTGTATCTTGAGTTTTTTTTCTGAGAGCAGCAAATAAATAGTTGAAATCTTGATCCTTCACTTGTTCGTGTACACGAAAGGTGTCAGGTATTGATGGAAAAAACCTTGGGTTTGGATTCGACCGGGTCCAGATCCAAATTTTAAATCTTGTTCGAACCCGGATCCACAAAAACGTGGATCCGCAGCTTCCTATATGAACTACTTCTTTATTACATTTCTAGAGGATTAAGTAAAACGATGGTGAAGAAAAATGCCACAAAGTAGATAGAATACAATAATCTTTCTGTAATTATTAATAGCAATTACATCATGTTTCATATTGTAATTCCACAAGGATTGCACTACTTCATAGACAAACAGTTTAAGAAATTACAAACAAATTATATAGTATCAAAATTTCATCTGCAAGACTATTTAACTGTCATTCGTGTAGCAACTTGCATGTGTAAAAGCTAACGAGAGAATCCCCAAGTACTCTTCTCAGATTTCAATTAATTTTTGTCTATAGATACTATATCATGCCCTAGTAAAAACTCTATAAGCTGTAGAATTTTTTCTTCAAAAGCCTCAAGTTTTCGGAAAAATTTTGATCTGAAACTTTGCGCACTTATAGACCTTAACTACACTAGTTTCCATGAAAAAATTCAGAAGTTTTGAACAAAATCTCTTTGAGATATGAGAATTTCAAGATGTAGGCTCTTTTCCATAGATAGTGTATAGAGCATGAATTTTTTGAAATCTATATATATTGAAGAGACTTTGTTCAAAACTTCTGAATTTTTTCATGGAAGCTAGTATAGGTAAGGTTTATAAATGCACCAATTGTCAGGTCAAAATTTGAAGACTTCATTTTTCCGAAAGTCTGGAGCCTTTGAAAAAAACTTCGATAGCTTAATTTGATCACAATATGCATCAAAATTGTTTTAGGATTTTTACTAAGGCACTATATAGTATCTATAGACGAAAATTCATGGGAATCCGAAGGAAGCACCTGGAGAGATTTCCTCGTAAATCGTGAGTCATGATTTCGTTCAATAAACTGGAAATTCAATTATGGTGAAGGACATTAGTTCAATTGAAAAATCCCTGATGTTGATTGCAACATAACTGCATAGACAAATTTTGTTAAAAATATCAAGAAATAACTATAACCTTTTCATAAACTGATGAAATATGCATTCATCAAATTTATTCAAATAACCATCATTGACATGCAAGACGCCTATTTGATAAATTCGAATGACACTCACTCATTATAATATTTTTAAATTAAGAAAAATATTCTTCACAAATAATTACATAAACATCTTTTGTTTGTATCAATTGATCGTCCATTTATTATCAAGGCCTTACACCTATTATTCAGTCATACCTCCAAAGACTTTCTGAATGTTGATCAATATATCTTCAACTGTAGACAAAATATAAACCAAGGTAAACAATAAAAACATCTATTAGAAAAAGACACATTATACTATAACTTCGAGGAACATTTCACACAAGAACAAGGTGTTATTTTATATTTATTTCGAACAATTTGACTATGATGAACAGTATCACTCATGGTCATATCAATATATGGGTAAATGGATTCAACGATTACAATTGAGTATTCTTAACCAAGATATATCACATATCATAACAGACAACCCTTATCGAAATATTTGTTATTATAATATTCATTGAACAATAATCAATCATACACAAGAGAAATGTATAGCATTGTTTTTAATATCAGGTCATACAGAGAGAAAGTTTCTTTAAGCTTTTGATAAGGAATTAAAATACTTTCGCCATTACTTTTGGTAGTCTGTAAGTAATAAAATCGAGTATTTGGATTGTTTTATTTTCATTATGGGCTCAATAATTGACAAAATATTGACAAAAACTAATATCAATTTTAATATCTACAGTTTTCTATTGATTCTTTTGCACGTATTGAACCAAGTATAATTAATAGAATGATGTTACGTTTGTTTTCATTTCATATACTACGTTTGATACGGCAATTCGAAGGTCATAAACTAAATCGATATTTTTATATTTAATTGGAACTTTATTTTCTATCTCGTATGCGAAGGTGAACAATACAGTTCTATAATAAAAAATAATACACAGTGTTAACTGTTTACAATAGTCATCAAATTAGTCAATATGAGACAAATGACCTTATGAAATATTTTTTTTTGATTTAATTTTCAGTATATTATTTTGTCATAGAAAATGTTTCAAAGTATAATTTTGTTTCTAGATATATCAATTATATTTATAGTAAAGAAAAGACAAAAAAAGAAAAAATGAATAACGAAATGTTGATTAAAGTTAAGAAGAAGAGACGTTAAATTGTATTTTTTTTTCCTTGTTCCAACACTATTCAATATATGTGATGTGGTGAGTATAAAAGTGTCACCGTGAAAAGAAATATTTTCAATTGCAATAGATATGTTTGGTGCTCGTCCTTATATTCCAAGACCATATCCTTATGTTCGTCAACCAGCTAGACCATCGTCTGGCAATGCTTGGAAATCAGCATGGCCATTTATTAGTTCAACTATTGTTGCATTTCTTATAATATTATGTGTTATGATCATTGGTGCACTTGAAACAGCATCATTAGCAATAAGTACAGATAATGATCTGTATGGAAATACTTCTTCAACAGGTGCTGGTTTTTGGTGTGGATTCTTTGTTTTTATTGCTGCTTTGCTTATTATTATAGCAAGTAAGTTCTATGGATAATAGGTGATTGGAAAGTTTTTACAACAAGATGTTTGTTCACTTTTGATCTGCTAGAAAGTTTTTCGACTAGTCAAAAGATATGTGTTAGGATACTCTTTTTGAATATGTACGCAAAAGTTTTATCTTAGTTGTTGCTCGCAAGTAGTAAAATAATCTTTGAAGAGTTCAAAGAATTTCTTTGAATGGGAATTGTGGAGCGACGTTTTCGGTGAATATGTTTGTTCATTTTGACCTGCTTGAAAGTATTTCAGTGTAGGTTGCGATCAGAGTTTTATGCTTTTTTTAGAATAAATGTTGTGCCTATTTTTGTTCAATGGTAGTGAAGAACTTTTTGAAAGTCCTAAAAAATTATTTTTAACAGTAAGCCAACAGACTTTTGTTTATCCTATAAGTATGCTAAAACTTGTCGGAGTCGATCATTTTGTATAGCAGACACTTCTCTACAAAATGTGATATTGACCTAAGTTGTAGCTTTTATTCCAGTAAGGCTACAAACATTTTTTTCAAGAGTTCTTTTCAACGTAAAACGGTTGTCGATTTTTCAAAAATGAGTATTTAGAAAAACAAAACAAAACTTGAGATACCTTGTCAAAAGACACTCAAAACTTCTAATAGTGCATTTTGTAAGGTGGTTTCTGATCTACAAACTAATATATAAATAAAAACGACAACTGTTAGTTTCGAATCGTAAATGAACAAACATGTTGTCTAAAAAAATTTTCGATCATTTATTATATTTACTTAAAAATGAAAAATTAATTATTCTTTTCTTTTAGATTTGGTACATCATACTCGTTTTTGGGCAACAATAGCTATGATTGCAACTATTATTGCTGTTGGTTTTTCTGTTATTCTTATTGGTTTAGCTGCTAAAGCTGTACAAGATGGCAATGATCGATTTTCTTCATTACCAAGAAAATCAAGAGTTCTTGCAGCACAATTAGCTTTTGCTATTCTACAACTTGTGCTCTGTGGCATCTATATTATTATTTATACTGTCGTTTTTATGTCGACTTATGGTCGTGTACGTTCACGAAGATGAGGTCGTGTTCATTTTTAGAATTTCTACAGAACTTTTAAAAAAACAAACATTTCGAAATAAAACTTTTTTGAATGGGAAGGGGAGGGAAGTTTTTTTCATATTATTCACAATATATGAAGTAGCATAGAAATTTTCTTTTTTTTTCAGTGTAGGAATATTTTTTATGTCGTTCATTGAAGAATTAAGGATTCATAAACTTTATTCATTATGTTTAGTTTGTGTACGAAGTCATAACATAGAATGTACAGAAAGATTTGTTTACTTTAAACAGAAGAATGGTTCTCTACGTTGGTTGAATGATGGATGATATCAGCAGTCAACAGAATTTAGTAATAAAAATATAATGTTTTCAATGAAAATCTGACTGAATTTGAAAAGTTGTAGAGTTCGTCAGTGTATTCTATTGAAATCTAGTTGAATTTTGAATGTTGAAAAATTCGAAATAATAGATGTTTAAATATAAATCAGTTTTTGTCTTTCAATAAAGTTATTTATGTTTTGTTTTCACTCTTCTGATAATTTGTTGTCGTATAGTTTGTTGATATAAACAATTTATTTTCATTCTGATCTTTAATAACATGTTCTATTTATTCACAGAAATCTCGATAAATAGATTCATGTGGACATTGTCTTTCTTATGATTTCATATAAGTAGAATACTAACAACCAAGAGCAGTAATAAACACTAATCTCTTGAAACAAGTGACTCGTATATGACAGCTGTGAAAATAGCTTATAGAATATAATGAATCGCTTAGATGATTCAATAATCAATCGTAGTATACTTTAAACATCCTGCTATACATTGATAGAGTTCTCTTGTTGATAAATAGCACAACGTCTACATCTCGACTTTGATCAAAAAATACCTATCCTAGCTACATTGTCCAAAAAAACGCTCTCCCGACTAAAAAAAAGAAACAAAGGAGAGAGATTAAGCTTATGTTTATTTCAATTCTTTTTCACATCTATTTTCATATACTTTTAGGATAAGATTCTGTTTATTCTATATGTTTTGAATTTTAATTTAAAAAATAAATGTTTAAATGTTAAGAAATGAACTTGTTGGTAATATTGATAACAAAGCTTTTTGTAATATTTTTCTTTTTTTGACATAAAAGATCAAATTTTATAAAGATTTGTAAAAGATGTCGATTGTACCAGCTATTGCTTATCGATAAACTATCTAGGCCTTTGTTGTATCATGCATGGACTGTCATTTCAATATGAGTATGTTTATAAACATTGTACATCACTTCATATACTAACACTGGTTTATTATTTTTTGTATCACAGAGTAAAAGTTTCAAGTTAGGATTTTGTATGACAAAAGATGTGCGACACTAAGGTGTAAAACGTCAATCGAACTCTGGTGAACACTTATTCGTAATGTGATAAAGATTCTTTTCATTCATGGCTCGAATGATCAATGCCGTTTCTCGAAGTTGACTATTTAAAGATTTAAGATACTTGTAAAATTGTTTTCGAGATTCAACTTCTGATGTTGAAAAAGAAGTCATTGCTGTATTTATGATACGATTAAATATGTGAAAATGAATGTTCTACTGTTTTATTTCAAGATTCTTTTTTATTGCTACCGATAGCGAAAATAAGAATTAATAAAAAAAAAAATTTGCACTCTTTCGCGTCTAACTAATAACGAATTCTACCTGTGACATATACTTTCGAGTGCTCCAGGAGAATTAAGTCTAGTACAATAACAGTTTTGACTGTTGAATCTAATTTTTATTACGTGGAGCTTATCCACAAAGCAATTCCGAAACATCTTTTACTTTTATTCAACGATCTTAGTAGAATTATTTATATTTGGCATATATTTCACTTTCGTTTCATAATTTTCTAAGCAATATTTAACATTAATTAATGACAACTAAGCCCAAAATCTATTAGCGTTCCCCATGAAGACATAATCATAACGAATTTACGTGTTGTCAATCTTTGAAAATATTTTTTTAAATCTTGATTTAATATTTTATCACAAAAATCAATCGATTATCAAATGTCATGTTTATCAAATAGGCTCTTTTATATAGCATGTGAAATCCACGAAAAAACTTTTCTTTCAGTTAGAGATATGCACAAGCTTTATTTTTCTTATACAAAAACATGTTATTTTTAATTTTAGAAAATTAAAGTCAAATTTTAAGTACAACAAATATAATTGTCTAACTATTATCTTTTTATGAGTTAAAAAAAAATGATTTCATAGAGTATATTTAATGGGTTTCGATGACTCAAAAATGAGACATCTGTCGGACAAAACCCTTCTTATTTTGATAAAATTTCGATCATATTGGAAACTGCACGTCTAAATAATCTAATGTCAAGTCTTCAGTCTATCAGAAAGTGGCAAATCGATGGCTTAATATAGGATTTCTAGGTCTGTCGGCAGCTCAAATCGATGCATCGAAATGCCTATCACATGGCTGAACGTCCGATAAAGTTTTATTTTGTTCTATGAGAGATATTTAATGATCAATATATGATTAAAAAACGACTAACAACTACGATCTATAAATCATAAACAATTGATTCTGAAAAATCAAAATAATTTCAAATGAGTCTTTGAAATCTTAAGACTAGCTGTTTTTTCCATCAATGTACAAAAGTGATCGATGTTGATGTTGTTAGTAAATAGTATATGAACTTCTCTTCGATTATATTACTTTCGAATTCTACTGAGTCACTAATAATTTGAATCAAGAAAAAAAAACTTCTAAACTACTTTGCTATGAATGTTGAAAGCAGAATATTAAACTGTCGTATAATGACCTCTTCCGTACGATGGATTCAATATTAACCATGAAAAACCAACCAAATGGAATTGGTGATTAACATCTAAAGTGATTTGACGGTTACTTTCGAAAAACAAAAATATTTTTTAATATTTTTTCTTTTATTTAGTAGATAAAAATCCATTTACACGTTAATGCTCTTTGCCACGAACAATAATAAAAACAAAAAAGTAATTTTTTTTATTCTCTTTCCTCACTAATCTCCCGTGGAAACATTTTACACCTGTCTATGTAAAAGATAAGATTTGAAAGTTGATCTCATCTACGATTATTGAAGCTTATATATCGAATACAATAAGATGCCAAGATTCCAAGGTGTCGATAATGCAAAATTAAAGATGAATATTTTTTATATGGTTAGGTAGAATGTGATGAGTTGATCAAGAATATATATATGGTTTAGTTTGATTGGAATCAGTTCTTAGGAGAAAAATTTCAGTTTTTCCGACGGTCTATTTTTTCTGAGATAGAGATTAATTTTCAATACTGGGTGTTTCAAATTCAGCGTTAAAAACTGAATCTAGGAGAATCATTTATAAATGACTTTTCTAGATTCAGCTTTTCACACTGAATCTGAAATAGTCAGTATTGAAAATTGACTTCTGTCTCAGAAAAAGTAGATCATTGGAAAAAACTGAAATTTTTCTCCTAAGAACTGATTCCAATCAAATCAAAACATATTTTCTTGATTAACTCATCACACTTTATCTAACCATATAATAAAAATTCATGTTTAATTTTGTATTCCTGGTACCTTACTTTATCAACGAAAATCTATCGAGAACTAATATAATTTTTAAGAAAGTACCGCTGATCAATATGAATGAATATTTTATTATATTTCAGATAATGACTAATTCACCATTTCCATATTTTACTCTTGGCACTATTGTTCATGGTTTTGATCGTGGCAGCAAAGAACTTGGTTGTCCAACAGGTATTTAAATTTAGGCAAGTTTTCTTTAATAAAAGACAAAAAAAATACTAATGAGCTTGTTTTTTCTATAAATTTTTAGCAAATTTTGATGAAGATACAGTAAAAAAATTACCATCATCGATACATCAAGGTGTTTATTATGGATGGGCAAAATTATTAAGACAAAATGATGATGAAATTTATAAAATGGTAGCTAGTGTTGGAAAGAATCCATTTTATCATGGTGAAAAAAAGACAATGGTATGTGGCAATTCATTATTACTATTATTATTATTGTCTAGATTCAATACCTATCTAGGAAACACATATAATGCATTCATTTTCAAAAGATTTTTATGGTGAAACAGTAAAAATTGTACTTCTAGGTGAAATACGAAAGATGACGACATTTAAAGATGCAAGTATGTCAAATAAAATTTTCATATAATTAATTAGATAACTCTCTTTTTTAAAATTAAATTCACAAATAGAAGATTTTCAAAATATTAAATACTATTATCATGTATTTTATAGAGCTTCAAATAAGTCAGCTTCTCTTGTGCTAAGTGATAAACTAGTTCATTATAAAATAATATAAAGTAATTTTACTTATTTATTCAGACAGACTATGAATATCAGTGCAAAATTAACTCTTTGAAAGTGATGATAACTTGAGCTTTGAAATTTAAAAGCAATTGAAACAATGTATCCGAAAGTAAACAAAATGTATGATAATGGTATGTTGTTCTCATGAATTTTTGAGAACAAGTAATAATGATTCACTTTCAAATCAATACAATTATTTACACAAAGATGGAATGAACTGTCAAGCAAAAGAATTTATTTTTTCACTCAAGAGATCAGAATTCATTCTTATAATAACATAGAACTAACAAGAATTTCTTTTTCAACATTTCGCATAAATACTGCTTTGTGTATTGATTGAATCTTATACGATCTCATATGACAAGATGTTTCGAAGTCTCACAAATTACTACATAGAGTAATGCCCATTTCAAAAAGAACAGGCAGGTGGATATTTCTTGAATAACTTTCGATAGAAACAAAATAGAGAGCTACGATTTTCACCTTTAGAAAGAGAAGATAAAGACACATCGAATTGTATACTACAGCTTTTTGATCTTATCTTTTTGAAGGTTTTTCAATCGATTTTTTGCGACAAGTAACGAATACTGTGTAGAGAACTGCGGGTACACATTTTTATGGATCTGGATCCAATAGAAGCTAAATTTCTGCACCCGAGAGTAAATTAAACTTTGAACGCGATCGTGCTCAGATGCGAACAAAGATCTATAAAACTGTGCTAATCTTAGATTTTTACATTTTAATCGTTGAGGAGTTATAGGTATCATACTCAAAACTTCCAACAGATTTTTAAAACAATTGCTGTGAAAAAAAAATCACTTTTTTTTGTTCTATAAGAGACCTTTTTTTTTGGATACTTTTTTTTAAAGAAAATTGATTAAAAAAGCTTCGTAAAACATATTAGGAAAGTTGATAATATTTGATTTGATGCGACTTTATTTCCTCCTTTCAACGGTGAATATCGCAGCGTTTTATCCCGTTTCTATTAAAATTTATTCAAACAATATACTCATTTGCCTTTTATTGTTTTTGAGCTGACTGTTTGACACTTGCTTCTTTTTGTATTCTATCGCTGTCATTAGATTCATTCATTTTTCTTTGTTCTTTTCTTGCTATCAGACTCAATAATACTTAATTTTTTCCTTGTTTCCATTTTAATCATTGGCTTACTTTTATTTCATATTTACATATAGTTTGACAATGCTCCATATAATGATTAAGGGAAACAAAAAAATGTTTTATTGATTTTCCTTTTTTTAACACGCAATTTTATATATGACAACTCTCTGAGCATTTTTACAAAGCAAAATATTTGTTCGAAAAATACAAAAAAAAAAAAATTTTTTTATTTAGATGAATTAGCTGCTGCTATTCAAAATGATATATCAACTGCTAATACTAAACTTGATACTGATGAATGTCGTCAATATCTTAATCATTCATTTTTTCAATAGTGACTTATTAATGAAAACATATTTTTCAAAATAATGATGATGGATATTTGTTTTTTTGTTTTGTTTTGTTTTTCTTCCATATAAATCGGCATATTTTGTTAATTTTATAACAAAATAAAATAAACTACGATAAAATTTTATTTATATAGATGAAAATTCCATTGATTCATCGTAACGTGTACTTGTTGATTGTTTACGATGATCAACATTAAATATTGGATGACGACCAAATGTAAAGTTTTCTATACGTTTATGTGCTTCTGATCGTTGTAATGGACCAAATATCATAAAACAAACACCAAGGATACATAATACTGATAAAATTAATATAATAAGAAATGAATTAGGAAATGTATTTGGAGTGATTGATGATGAAATTTCATTTGTACAATTTCCATTAGTACAAGGAGATGATGATGACGGTAAATTTTCATTCAAATGTTGAGTGTCGTCAGTATTTATCATGAACATGACTTAGTATTCATTGATTGATGGTAACGTGTCTAATAAGTTGACATTTAATGTTTTAATTATCACTTTCTTTTTTCTTATACATGCATTCTACAATGTCAATACACGATAAATAGAAACAGAAATAGAAAAAAGACAAGAATAACTTTGAAAAATAACATACGGAAAAGAAATGATGAATTATTCTTCAAGTCAAATGTCTATATGACATAGTATCATATATTCTCATATCCGGAGAACATAGCAAATAACTAAAACACTCAGAATATATATATATGCTTTCTTTTCTATACACTAGTTTTTGTTTGTAATATGCATTTTAAAGGACGAATTTTTCATATAATAATAAATTGGATACAACTATTTCTCCTGAGATTGCACGATAGAAATGGGAAGGAACACGTATGTTGGCATCTGTTTTCCTTGACATTAGATCAAGTGTATAACAAGGTTGACTTTGTTCTTTTTTTTTTCCTGTGTCTATTATAAATTCAATATTCTGCTTGACATACACAAAGAGAAAGAATAAAGGATCGGAAATGAGAATGACAGTATTAGAGCTAAAGAAAAAAAAGTTACATGTAAAAACAGGAAAAAGAAACCTAAATAGTTTTCTTTTGGCTCCATATCGGCTACGAAGAAATTGAAAGAAAAACAAACGGAAATGCAGCATAAGTTTTAGGCAATTTAATTAGCTCAATTTTTTTCAATAAGCAATTAATAATAAACTTCTATAAAATATGATTTTATAAAAGGATCGGAGTTATTTTTTAATACTATGTCAAAAATAATGAATATGTAAAGAAACAAAATTAAGAATAGATTTTACTCAAGTCAAGTACAATGTGACGAAAACTTAAAATAAGAGGTTAATGTTTTCCGGAAATCAATAGTTTCTTGTGAATGGCATGTGACTGTTGAATGCGAAGAAAGCAGAGATATATGTGGAGGAAAACAGAGATTACACAGGATCATGGCGATGCATCATCCTCATCATCATCATCTTTGCTCATTTTTATCGCCTTATTCCTTCGTTCAGTAGCTTATTTCTTTTTCTGCTCTTTATATGTTATGAATCGTTGTATGACAAGACTTTAGCGCCCTCTCTCAACATAATTTTCATAATTTGAATATTGAGATATTCCTTTTTTATTTAAAACATAAACTCTTATCTATATAACAAATATTTTTTCAAAAGATATTTTTATTTTTTACATAAAATTCTGAAAACATATTGAATGTTCATGATTGGTAGATTATGGAAAATATCCAAACTAGTTTTATATTGTTTATTAATACTATATTCATTTTTTTTTTATCATTAATATCAATGAAGAAACCAAAGTTCCTGTAAAAAGAAACAGCAGAACTCAATCAATATTATATTAACTAATTTTTCTATTTTTTTTTCTTTTGTAGATTAGTTTTTAGGAACACATAAAAACACCATGGGTGCCTATAAATATTTGCAAGAAATCTATCGTAAAAAGCAAAGTGATGTTATGCGTTTTATATTTCGTATTCGCACATGGCATTATCGACAATTAGCTGCCATTCATCGTGCACCAAAATCAACACGACCTGAAAAGGCTCGTCGTGTTGGCTATAAAGCTAAAGCCGGATATGTAAATATAATAATATCTTATTTTGTTTTTTTCTTTTATTAATCTTGAAAATTTTTCATATAAAATTTAGGTTATCTATCGTGTGCGCGTTCGACGTGGTTCACGAAAGAAACCAGTACCAAAAGGTCAAGTCTATGGTAAACCAAAACATCAAGGTATAAATCAATTAAAATTCCAACGTTCATTACAATCAGTTGCTGAAGAACGTGTTGGACGTCGTTGTCCAACATTACGTGTTCTTAATTCATATTGGATTGCACAAGATGCAACATATAAATTTTATGAGGTTATTCTTATTGATCCATGCCATAAAGGTAAATTATTTTTATTGTTTAAAAAATTTGAAGTTTGTTTTTTCTGTTTTGTTTTTGTTAAATAGGTGTTCGTCATGATCCACGTATTAATTGGATATGTAAATCTAATAAGAAACATCGTGAATTACGTGGTTTAACATCAGCTGGACGAAAATCTCGTGGACTTGGTCATGGTCATCGTTATTCACTTACAACAGGTGGTTCACGTCGAAAATGTTGGAAACGTCGACAACAACTCAGTCTTCGACGATATCGTTAAAAGGCAACAACAAAATAAACGGCAACAATATTATAATCCGTTTGATTTCTTGCTATTTATTATTGTTGTTGTTTTGTATTTGTTTATTCAAAAATGAAAGAAGAAGTAAAATGAAAAACAACTAAGATTTAATAGTACAAAAACAGAATAAATGACGATTAAATACAAGGCTGGTTTCTTTTAGTCGTTAAAAGTTTAAAATGAAAACAAAAATGTTAAATTTATGTTTTGTTTTACTTTGTTTTATGAGAATTTTAGTACAATAATTGTTCGTTTGATAAGTAATTATTAATTAGAAAAACCAAGTTAATGATTCCGGTCCTCGGATCCGTGAATTTCCGGCAAGTTCCTGTCGGAAATACCCCGCATGTCTTAACCTGGAAATAGATGTTTTTTTTTTTATTAGATTTCATAACTATGAATCGCACGGTAGAGTTATACTTTCTGATCACATGTAAACAAAACTTTTATGTGTTTCGCTTATGACATAATTTTTCGAAGATCAGTCTGAACATAGATTGATGTGAACGATAACAGACAATTTGATTTCGAACTGAATAGTATGTGGTAGGTAAATTTAGAATTAAGTTGACATTAGACATGTACCAAGCCCACACAGATTGGGTTTGAATTTGAGTTTGGTGCATGGCCTAAGTTGAAATTGGAATAGCGTTTTCTAATTCGATCATAATAGATATTGTGAATGATCAAACAAAAGAATTTATTGATTATTAATATAATTTAACCGTATTTTTCGAAGTTTACTTGATAACAGAGATGTATTCAGATTGTTATTCTATGTATCGGCAATTATAAGTTGACGATATTTATTTTGTTCAATAGAATAGATATCTTTTTTCTGGAACATACGGACATTTAATTATTAGTGAAAATTCAATACTTAATAAATTGTTTCTTTATAATGTGCATATTTTCGACATATTTGTTTTTTTTTATCTCGGAAACATTGCATGATTGATGAAAGTTTTTGAAAAAAGTATTTATTCAGATGAGCAAGGGCTTGATGTGGGTGATTTTTTGAAAACAAGTGTACGTTGTACCACAGATGTGTCTTTTAACTATGATATTAGAGCATAGCGAATAATTATGAGCACTAATGAAATTGAAAGTTAAATTTGTTGTCTAAATTCTATAACAGTAATATAGCGAATTGCGACTTGAAATATTCGAATTCTGACCTAAGATATCCTACGTAAACGTTTGAACAAGAATTCAAGCACGTGATTAAATTTGCCAAAAGATCTCAAGATGTATTCATATCACATGATATTCTTGCTCATAATATTCAAGAACTTCATGAGCATGATAAAAAAGACGTTAGACTAGGATAGCTTCATACACCTTCCAATACACATGAAGATATATTTTATTCCTATCAAAACCAATACTCTTATACGCAATCACAACCAGCCAATAATTGCTGATACCAACCTTTACGATCTCTTCTCGTGTACCTTCTGCATTTGTAAATGTTAAATCAATGTTTCTGTTCGAACGCTTTGAAAAAATGCAATGTTCATGAGTTTTAACAATGATTGCTTTTTTTCTGTTCAATCTTTCAAACTTCTACCTCTTTCATCTGACAGTACACTTGCCCATTCTTTGATAGATGTGTTAAAATTACCAGTAATGAATATATTTTCAATGATGTGTAGTTGTAACTCTTCTAAATTTCTAGTCTGAATTGCCAGCCAATAAATAATAGTTATTGATTAAGTACAGCTGAAATTTGGATCGTAGGAAAAAATTATAATTGACTTATCTATATTCAGGATAGAACATGATTGCGCATCAATATGACCAAGAATTATGAAAATCTTATGCTGTTTTCAATTTTTCAAGAAAGACTTCTCAATAGTGACATTATTTTTATAGCTTTTATCATGATACTTTTTCCACTAACCCAACGAATAAATCTATTTCAAATAAGATTATTCCAGTCAGTTCGGTGGAGTTGTTGAGTAGAGATTATATTACAAGAGAAACTTCAGATTCATTTCAACAACGAGAGAAAGAAACATGTAAAACGATTTAGAAGATAATATTCAATTCTAATCGCAAAAAAACTTAGAAAGAACAAAACTAAATAAACTTTGTTGATATTATAACATCGAATCGTATTTAACAGTCAATGATTATAATATTTCAATCACTGGATCATGAATTTTTAGTCTTTGTAAGAAGATTGCTTAATGACTGTTTTTATTTATATTTCATTATCTTCGTTATGATGAAAAGTTTTTTTTTTGTTTTTTTAGCATTTTCTCAATAGGAGAAAAAATAATTCCAAAGCAAATGATTTTGATTTTTATCGACTAAGAATTATATCATGAAAACAATTTAATGAAAGATAGACTATTCTTATTGTGGAAGAGAAAGCAACAACAAATTTGTTTGAAGTATTTAATAATAAAATCGATAAATTTTTGTTAGAAATGAATTTCATTTCTACTCCCTGTTGAGATCAATTATTCATTGATGATTACCTGCCGATTTGTTTTGCTCACATATATAAATATTGAGAAATAGTCAATAAGGAATAAATACGATGCAAACGCTGATACTTATTCTTCTCATAGGTTAATCATTTTTAAAGATTATATCGATAGATTATTTTGGCTCTATTTTAGTATTACCTCAACTATGTACACCTCTTAATTGTTATTCATGCTCGGGAACAACAGGTTGTAATGAACCATTTAATTCTCTTGGTTCTGGTGTTTCAACAACAGGAACAATTGCAGCAAATACTTATTGTATAGTTAGTTTTCTTTTCTTTGTTTCGACAGTGCTATCATATTTGTTTTTATACTATTTTTGTTAATAGAAAAGGAACTATGTTGGAACAATATATCGATCAGGTGGTTCATCATGCACAGACTATTGGTATTCATCTAATGCTTATCAAACTTGTTGTCAATCTGACTTCTGCAATCGAACAAGAAAGATAAACTTTAATTTTATCTTAATCATCTTTTTATGTTGTTTTGCTTTTATTGGAATATTTTCTAAATTTGAAAATGAAACTTTTTAACAAAAATAAAAATTCGTAAATCTATTAACATGATTTTTATGTTTATTGTAAATTTTTTTTTTTTGTATGTAAAAAAAAAAGGAAGAATAATTAATTAGGATTAATTAAAAGTTCTAACAACAGTGAATAAAAACAAAGAGATATTTTTTATTTTATTTTATTAAATGTTCAAAATACTTACCATGATTATTTATACAAAGTTCTATTCTTTCTAACAATTTGCCAAATGTATTTTTAAAATTTTTCTTCTGGAATATTTTAAACTATCCTCGAAACTACACGAGCCAATTAGTTTTCGTTTGTTTGATTAGTTAAATTACGCTTCATGTAATCATTTAACTAAAAACCACATGATGCAAGGTTTTAGTGAAAATGGTGGATGTGGCATTAAATTGACATCGTGTTGTGTTAAATAATTAATAACATCTGGATGAGTGTGATGTCGAACATTGCCATGAAGTAATTTTATACCTTTTGCACCTGATGATTTTCTTTGTTTCTATATTTCATTGACAACTCGTTTTAGGTAATATTCAATATAATAGTTGTGATCTAGAGTCTTGGCTTTATCTGCACTATGTATAAGAATAGAACCATTTGGTTTAAAGAATATAGAAAACAATGTTATTGGTGTAAATCTATTTTGGCGATCAATAGTAATTGGTGATTCATCTTCACTAATCCAGCTTGCGTTAGTTGACTTGCATTCAACACGTCTATGGTAAATCCATGTCTCATCACCATCACCTGTAATAATATTCCATAATCGTCATGATCCATCAAGAAATATCGACAAATTCTAACTCGTTCTTGTTTTTAATTATCATTGAGTTAAAGAGGCGTTCAACGTTATGTAACTTTTCTTATCTTTAGACAATCGTGGATAATTTGTTCTATTGCATCATAAAACAAAGAAGTCTCAACTATAATATCATCATATCATAAGTTAAATGTGGATAATTGTTGATAACTTGTCGCACCAGTTCAATAATTACATCTGTCAGCTCGGAAATCGAACGATCAGATCGAGAATCATCATTGACATCTTTTCTTCCATCATGAAAACGCTGTGCCCACCTTGCAATTGTTCAATATGATGAAGTATTAGATCCAAATGGTGCTGTAAATTCTTCATGAATTGTCTTTGCATCAATTTAAAAAATAGACCGAATTTTAATATAGTATCGATCGAATTCACTATTCATCTTTCAAAAGTTTTTTTATCGAAATTCAGTTTTATCTAAAAGAATAATAGACCTAAAGCAAGAATAGATTTATTATAAATATTACTATAGACAAGACATTCTACTATCTGTCCATTCATGCAACAGACTCTTAAACGTTAGCTGGTTTATGAAATTGCCAGCAATGTTGCTAGAACACTTGGCTAAACCTAAGTAGTCTATCATGTTCAAGTTTGATTAATTCGACTTGTATTTATCGATTGATTGAAATAGAATCAAATATTTTGTCAAGTTACATTCTGAATATGTTTTTTTTGTTTTAAAAATTTTTTTAAATAAAACAACAAATATTTGTCAATCATTTTTGATTAATGAATTATTTCATAAAGAATTTTCTGTTGATTTGATTATTCATTCGACATAAATCAAATAGAAATTTATTCGATTTTATTTTCGTTTATAAAAAAAGAAGAAAAAATTCTCCATCTGTGTATATCTTCAAAATTAAAATATAAATATAAAACAGTTATCATTGAAAATTTCCTTTTTGTTATCATCCAGTAAAAAAAAGATTTATCTTCTAAAAAGAAATAAAAAAAACGATCCTCTTTTTTAATCATTATTTGATACATATAAAAGTCACCTATCGAATGATAAAATATCCAAACCAAAAACCAAAAAAAACCATAAAATTTAATCAACGAATTTTTCTCAGCTTCTTTTTTATGGAAAAAAAAAACTAAAAAATCGCATAAAATGTAATTAACTATTTCAAAAATGCTTTGTTTAGAAAATTTCATTAAAAAAGAAATAGAAAGATTTTATTTGTTGAAGATTTCGTGTAAGAAATATTGATTAAAAACAAAAAAAGCTAAATGGCTTTATCTGATTTACATTTATCATGTTATGATGGTGATTTGGAAAAAGTAAAAAAATGTTTGAATACAGATAATATAAATGAAATAAAAATTATTTTTCAAGAAGAACAATGTGATCAATGGATATTTATTAAAACAAAAGAATTAACACCAATTATTTGTGCAATTGAAAATAATCATCTATCTATTGTCAAATATCTTTATGAACAAGGTGCAAATATTTATCTACTTCAGTAAGTGGTTTTTTTTTCAATTTATTAATAATAAATAAATTCGTTTTTGTAAAGACCTTTGAAAGTAGCATGTCAATATAAACATATCAAAATAATTGATTATTTATTAAATATTTTAATTGTAAAATGTCAGTCGATATTATCAAAAAGCTCGAGTCCATCATCTCCATTATCACTTTGGTATGAAAAAGCAGCATCACAATGGCTTGAAGCATTACCGATTGGAAATGGTTATATGGGTGCAATGATCTATGGTGGATATCCTCGTGAAACAATTCAATTAAATAGTGATACTTTATGGGCTGGTTCTCCACATGATTATTCAAATCCAGGTGCTTTTAATTATCTTCAAGAAATTCGACAATTAATTGAAAATAATCAATGGAATCAAGCTCAACAAATTTTAACAGAAAATTTTTTTGGAAAACCAATTCGTCAAGCACCTTATCAACCTGTTGGAAATTTATTCATTGATTTTTTTCCAGAATCATCATACAATTCTATTGATCAATATCAAAGAGAGTTAAATTTAGAAAAAGCAATTACAACAACGACTTATTCAACAGATCATCAAATTAATTATCAACGAACTTGTTTTGCATCTTATCCAGATAATTGTATTATTTATAATATTCAATCATCGGTAATATATTATTTTAAAAAATCTAAATAATAAATAAATATTTTAGTCATCAAATTCTATAAATAGTGTTATATCATTTTCAAGTCCTCAAAAAATAAATATATCAGTTGATAAAACAAATACATTAATAGTAGATGGTATTGGTGGTGATCATGAAACAATACCTGGAACAATTCGCTTTCGTTTATTAATAAATGTTGAATTAGATGGCGAATGTTATCCATTAAACGATCGTTTAATTATATTTGCATCAAGTTTTTTAACTATTCGAATTGTTATTGCGACAAGTTATATTAATTATTCATATGTAGATGGTGATGAAAAAAAATTATCTCAAAATAATTTAAATAATTGTTTATTGTATAATTATGAACAATTAATGGAACGTCATTTAAATGATTATAAATTATTATTTGATCGTGTTCAATTAAATCTTGGTGAAAGTGAAGCTATGTTACAACCAACTGATCGTCGAATTGAATTATTTTCTCAAAATCCAAATCTTGATCCACAATTAATGACATTATATTTTCAATTTGGTCGATATTTATTAATATCATCAAGTCGTCCAGGTAGTCAAACAGCAACATTACAAGGTATATGGAATGATTCAATGACACCACCATGGGATTCAAAATATACAATTAATATTAATATTGAAATGAACTATTGGATAGCTGGACCAGCAAATTTAATTGAATGTTATCAACCTTTATTTGATCTTATTCAAGATATATCACAAACAGGACAATCAACAGCTAAATTACATTATGGAACGGTTAGATTTTATTTTTTATTTTTTTATTTTTTATTTATAAAAAATTCCATATATACTATATGTATACAGCAAAGTGCAAAAGTCTCCATTCCCAGTATTTCTCAGAATGTATATGATAAATATGGAAGCGAAATATATATACAGATAAGACATAGTACAAGGTACAAAAGTATCACAATTAATAGTTGATTCTCTCTTCTTTCCAGTCAATCAAAGTGAAACTTCGCGCTTTCATCGATTTGACCAAATGATTTAGAGTGGCTAAGTCGATTTGTCCCATCTCATTCTCCGTGTAGAAATCTGTTGAGTTCATCGAAGTTTGATGGTTTCCGCTTTTCGATATGACATTTGATGATCTATCGGAGGTTCTCTACTGGATTAACGTAGGGACTCTTCCACGGTCATTCGATCATTTTGAGCACTTCCTTATGCAAGAATTTCTTCACCACCGTCGACTGAATTCCCATCCGGCATTGCAAATAAGCTTATTTGAAAGAATTTGAAGGTAGTAAGGACCATCCATAATACTCTTGAACGAAGGATAGCCGATCAGATCCTTGCTAATGAAAGCTGCCCAACAGTATAATCTTCTGTCTGTTTATCGAAATTCTCTTAATCTCGGCCCGTTTGATTCTTTAACCGTCGATGAATGACATTTCTGAATAATTGGTAGCAAGTCTCATCGGTGAATATTGTTCAGCTCCAATTGTCGTGTTTGCGTTGAATGATTCATTGGATACGTACATCTTTCTGCTTCTGTATCAATATTAATGTCGGATAGGACAAAATACTTTTGTAACTCATTCATTTGACCTGTCGCTGTATCGTTCATCGGGACACGTGCTGATCTCAGTTCTGAAGCAGTTTTTACGCACTTATTTTGCTATTGTTTCATCGAATACGCTGACCGAGTACCTAGTTGTCATCGGTAGTAATCTTGCGAGATCGGCCACTAAGACGTCTGTCCTTCATTGTGCCTTGTTTTTTTGGTCTTGGCAATATTATATTTGACAGGTTGAATACAGATCTTCGTCAGACGGGCAATTGTTATAGGAGATCAATGATCGTTTTTTCAATAGTGTAAAATAGTTAATCGTTTCGTTTTCAGCAAACTATAATTGTGTTGTCGAGGCATTTTCTCTCAACCCAAGAATGTTTACGATTATTTGTGGTTTACACAGATAATATATATATATATAGACCTCTTTTTACCTTCTAAAAAGTTCTCGAGAAGTCTCTTCGGAAAGTTCCAGATATATGCTTTTAGAAAATTGGATTATTTTAAAGGCAAAGACTTTTACATCTTATTGTATATATAGACACGAGAAGGAAGTTGGGTATGTCATCATAATACTGATATATGGCGAGGTACAGCACCTGTTGATGATGCTGTTTATGGTACATGGCCAACAGGTGGAATATGGCTTTGTAAAAGTATTTGGGATCATTATTTATTTACAAATGATAAAACAAATCTTCTTCGTTATTATCCAGTACTTCGTTCAGCAGCACAATTTTTTTTAGAAACTCTTGTTAAATCATCAAATTATTTATTAACAAGTCCATCAATGTCACCCGAAGTTCCACATCATGTTCAATTAAATGCTGTTGTTTGTCAAGGACCAACATTAGATATTCTTTTAATAAAAGATTTATTTAATTCCATTATTGAAACATCGCGTTTATTTAATATTGATTTATCATTTCGAGAAGAAGTTCAACAAGCATTTGATCAATTACCACCTCTTCAAATTGGACAATTAGGTCAATTACAAGAATGGTTTCAAGATTGGGATCAAGAAGCTGATATTCAAAATAGACATATGTAAGTTTCGATTGTTCTTTTTTTGTTTCATTATTCTTTTTAATAATCTTGGCAAAAATTGTTTATTTTAAGGTCTCATTTATATAGTGTTTTTCCTGGAAATTGCATAACAATTGAAACATCACAATATCGTGATGCAGCACTTCGTTCATTAGCTCTTCGAGGTATATTTGTTCCATCACCGGGATGGTCATTAGCATGGAAATCAAATATTTGGGCTCGTCTTCATCAAGGTTCAAATGCATTTCAACTACTTTGTATGATTTTAACACCATTACATACAGCAGCAAATTTATTTGATTTAATTGATGGTCCACCATTTCAAATAGATGCTAATTTTGGTGCAACATCAGCTATTTGTGAAATACTTCTTCAAAGTCAAAATAATAACATAGAACTTCTACCAGCATTACCTGTTGATAATTGGCCACAAGGTTTTGTTTGTGGTTTAAGAGCACGAGGAAATTATCAAGTTAATATTTGGTGGACAAATAAAATATTATATCGAGCAGAAATTATTCCTTTATCAAATAAACATATTTGTAAAATTATTTATCAAAATAAAAGTTTAATTTTGGAAAATTTATTATTTGGATATACATATCATATTAATTCATCATTACAATTAACTCATCAATCAAAAACTACATAAGAAATTTTTCTGAATTAATTTATTATTTATTGAAACTAACGATCAAACTATGAATATTTATCATTTAATATTTAAAAATAACAGTGATTTTTCTTATTATTAATTAAATTTATTTTCTAATAGTTATTCAATAAAAAATCTTTAAACAATTTCATAAATACTTCATAGAATAATAGATTTCAGACTCATCTGTTTATCATTCGTCAATTGTGAAATTAACTTCAAATTTTTCCTAATACTACAAAATAAGCAATGTAACATCTTTGGTTGTTTCCATCAGAGATCATCGTATAACTGCTGCCTAACATTTCTCTAATACAACAAATCGTGACTTCTGTAATATTCTTTGTAACAGTTTGCTACACAGAACCGAATATCAAAAGCTAAAAAGAAATATTACCTTAACTTTAAAGTAAAATGACACCCCTAATCAGGTGTGTGTGTGTGTGTAGTAAGATGAATTATTACAATTCTGGAAAACATTAGACCTAGAATATTCTCTAATTTCCTTCAGTATGTAAAATACTATTTATCATTGTCATATAAAACATCGATAGTCATATTTTTGAAGTTTTCTTAGAGACTCATCATTCTATTCATATGTATAAATTAATAGAATGATATGATTGATGTTTGAATCTCAATAAAATGTCAACGTAAAATATTATAATAGACAAAAAACTATAGTCATCTGGTCTCATATTCAGATCGGCCAATTGATTTGGTTAATCATCTCTTCTGAAACGAATTTTTATTATTTGATCACCATACTTTGAATGTTTACTAGAGAACACTATACACTATATAATGGTACAATATGACTAATAGATTATGAAAGTGGATTTATGAAAAATTTGAAAGAAAATATGTGTGCAAAATGTAGAAGTGCTGTTTCCGATATTTGTATTCAATAAAAGTTATTCAATGTTCTCATCATTCAGTTTGTGAGTTAATCTCCATTCGAATAAGAACAATTAATAAAATCGCTATTGACAAACGATAGCTACTATGTATAAATAAATATTTAAACAAGAAATCTGCTACAATGATATGAAAAAAATCAAGATAAGACAAATGTTACATATGCGTAAAATGATTCATTATTTCTATTTGTTAATAACTATTGCCTTTCAAAATAGGATTAGTTCTAGTGGGTAATGGACTCTGAATGATTATAGTCTTAATACAAAATAAATATCTTTCATTTCATACAACAAATAGAAAAGAGCAATGAAAATATCAAAACTAAAAATAATCAAAATTTGAGATCAAAGGATTATAGAAATTTAAAAAAAAAACTTTCGTATGTTTGAAACATTGTTTTGTGGTAGATATTTGAAAATTACATAATCAAATATTGTCGTTGTTCGCCTATTCTTCTAATAAGATATGTTTAGTTAATATTATAATTCTAGTTTCCATTTTTCGACGAAAATCAAATTAATATGCTGTTCAATTTAACGATTTTTGATAGATTTGTAACGAGGATCATTAGTAAACTACTTTTATCATTAGATAAAATGTTATCTAATCATACTGAATGATGTTTGTATTTCTTATCATGCATTCTGATTAAAATTACATCTGAAAAAGCTCAAATATCAAGTATCAATTGGCAAGAGATCTTATATTCGGATGCACAGATTTTCGAAGCTCAAATATCGATGTTCTATTCACGAATGCTCTCACGTCAGAATGCACAAAACTCCGAAGCTCAAATATTAGTGCACCAAATTATTAATAAAACATTACCGATTCTTCAATTCCAATGCAATAATACATACCTTGTTTTCGTCATCATAAAAACAATATAGCCCAAATTACAGACAATATCATTTATTCCATTTCTTGCTAATGTATATTTCATCACTTAGATAAGAAATTTCAGCATCTCAAAAATATTTTTTTATTCTACGTAGTAAACAAAATCTTGTACATAAATATTTGTCTTGCCTGTCAGTCACCGGCTATATTTCGTATATTACTTTGTCTATCAAATAAAACAAATAATTCACTATCTATAGCTTTCAAGAAAACAGAAAACAACAAAAATCCAGAGAATAAGTAGAAAAGAAAACCAAAAAAATAAAAAATTTTTGGAATGATTAACAAAAATAAAATAACATATCACAAGAAAATACAAACTGTTAATTTATTCTATACATGTTGTTGTTCAATTTTATACATGTTGTTGTTCAATTGAATCAAGAATAATATGATTTGTCTTAAATGTATTAACACGTAAATCAATCTGTACTGAAGTTATATTACCATCATCGTCAGAACTCGATTGATGACCACGATGTCGTCGTCGAGTACTATATGCACATTTATTTATATTTTCACCTGATCTAATATATTCAAATTGTACAGTAAAATGACGAATACAATATATTTCAAATATTCTTTGTAATTGTCGACCAAGTAAATCTCTACATATACTTAATGATAAATCTTCATCACAAACAACATGTAATGTAGCAAATACATCTCGAGCTGTTGCTCTGAAAACAAAAAGTTTTTTTTAATTTAATTTTATAATAAATTTGAAAAACTAAATAAATAAATAAATAAGTAAATACCTCCAAACATGTACACTATGTACACCACGTATTTGTGGTATTGTTTTCATAATTGTTTGAATTAATTGACGTGTTTTAATACCTGATGGTACGGCTTCAACAAGTATATGACCTAATGACCATATAACAGGAATAGCTTTAATTGCTATGATTATTACCATTAATAATGTTAATGCAGGATCAATATATTTTAACCAAACATTTATTGGTTCATTTGTTATGCGATCTTTGCTTGGAATGAATTTATTTAATAAACCAGAAATAAGCACAATTGCTGATTCAAGGACAACAGCCTAATTAGAAGAAGAGAAACTTTTTTTTTCTTTTTTTTTTGAATAATTTGCTACACTTTCACAAGTTCTCCATTTTTTTCAGTTCTTTTGACTCGATTAAGAAATTTAATTCAACAATGTGTTCAAACATTAAGAGATCTATTTTACAAAGCAAAAAAAATTGTGCTACAACGATGAATAAACGTAATAAATATATGCAAAAGTATATCTAATAAAACTAGCACCATTTTAAAAAACACAATTATTATGTCCTCAAGGCTTTTAATATCTTCATCTATGTTTAATATAATTATATTTCAAATGTCAATGTAGCATAAGTTGGCCTTGTTCATAGTTATATGTAAGACTACATGTGTTAATGACTTTATTCTTTCCCTGCACTACACGACTTAAAAATTCATAACTGCTGTCAAATGTTATAAAAAAAAAAGGTCTTTATTTTCTAATAGTTAGTTCTATATGAGAATAATAGAAATGTCAACATTCTCTAGCTAATATTTCGCATTGCATATTGTTTGTGTTCTCTTCAAGAACTAAGAAACTCAATTTGATATCTATATAAAGAAAAAACACTTGTTTTTTTGTTTAATTTATCTATATTTACCAATGAATGTAAACAAAGCGCATGAAGTGTTGCATAAACTCGTGATTCTTGAAAATCATCTTCAAGTACTAGTTCATCTTCATTTAAAATAAATGTTGAAGATACTGTTGACTCTCCACTTTTAGTTCTCATACGATTAAATTCAATTCCTAGTCTATCTGGTGTATTTAATTGTTGTTCATTATAATTAATAGTTTCTTGTTGAATTTTATCAGCAACCATAAATGCATTTGTATATGTATCATTTAATGATGGTAAAATTGATTCATGTCGTTTTTTTCTTTGTTCATTTATATTTAATGATGTATCATTAATTACTATTGTAGGTTTTTTTAAAACATTTTTTTGTTCAGTTAATGATGATTCTTGATTTGTATGATTTATATGAAGATTTCGTAATGTATCATAAACACTTTGTAGAAAATCATTTTTTTTCTGTTCGACAATTTCATTGCCTATATTATGATCATGATGATAACCACGAAATAAAAATAAACCTAATAAACCAATACAAAATCCTGCTATACCTAAATAGATCATAGCAGATGGATCTTCTATATGATTTGGATTAATTAATTTATTAATAGCATCAACAATAATTGAAAATGATAAAGATAATAGAAGAACTTCTTGTAAAAGACCAGCTAATAATTCTAAACGAGCCCAACTATAATAAAAAAAAATAAAAACGAAACTTTTTAGTTTTTTAGAAAAAATGTTCTATTTCAAAATCTTACCCAAAAGTATTTTTAGCATCTAAACGTTCGACTTTTGCATAACGTAATGCAAATAATGAACCAACTAATGCAATACCTTCAGCAAATGAAAAAAGTCCATCAGCAATAAGTAATTGTGATCGAGAACGAATTCCATATCCAATTTCAGCTATTGCTATACCAACTGTTAGTATAAGCATAATAATCATGCGACCAGTTTTCGATCGTACAATTCGAATAAATCGACGTAGACGATGCCATGCCATCATCCGATTGTTTTTGACCTTAGCAATATCGTTGTTGTTTTCCTTCTTAGTTATATTTGTTGGCAGAACAATAACGAGTAATGATCATCTTGACACTGGGGATAGAACCATATAAAAGAAGAGAAGACAAATGGATTAATGACATTACTCTAGAATTCATAAGCAATATATTTTACTTATATAGCAATTAGAAACAGCATTTGCATATATGATAAACGGATCAATAGTGTCAGCTGGTATATGCAGCTGTTGCCTAATTCTATTATGAGAAACGGGTGAAATGATATAGAACAACAAGTAATGTAAATAAATTGACAGACGATGATAATAAACAAGAAAGTTCTTCACTAAGAAATGATTGTATCAAGATCAAAGATGATTATCATAAAAAAATCGAACGGAATTTATGATAAAAAAAAGAATGAGTTTTCTTTTATACCTCAAAAGAAAGTTTAATTATAATTTTTTGTATAATTTCTAGTTGGATTATTTCGTTTCATATACAATATGAGACATTTTGAATATTTGAAGCATCAATA